CCAGCTAGTCCCCACTGCTGAACAAAAGGTGCTCCCATACCTTCGCACTCCCTCATCTCCATCGTCTTCTCTTATCGATCAAGTCGTCCCCACCCGTCACGATCACATGTCGCTACTCGAATAACAATCCGTCCTCCACGCCATAGGCTGACGGCAATGGCAGTCTCGAAGATTCGAACAGGTGGAATATAACGCACTCAGAATCCTATCTCGAGCTGCACAGTGAGAAGGTCCTTGACCCAGATAGTCTCCAAGACTCCAGCCCAAAAACCCCGCCCGCTGAGGCAAAGAGTGAAAACCGTTCCTGCCAAGCTACTCCAGCCTGCCATATCCACCCTGTAGCTTATGCTTCGCGCCGTCGTCCAACGCACCGCTGCTCCCGCCAGCCTTAAACCTAACTCGGCGCTTGAGCACCCAACAATGGCTACCGGTGGCGGCACCGGGTGCCAGCAGTGGAACCGTGGGCGGTGGTGGCTGCGGATTCTGGTGGGCCGTTGGGGCACACACGCTTGGTGGCCGTGGAAGCGCGCGGTGCACCGTCATCGGGGTGGGGGGATTCAAATTGGTCGTGCGCTGCAGCTGCACGTAGCCGTTGGGACGGATTGTTCTGGGCGAGGGATGTTCTACCGTGGCAGCTCCACATGGCAGTACAAGACAAGTTGCAGATGTGTCGACACGGCGAGTGACGCTATAACCACCAGTCATTCTCACGCTCAGACAGTTCTCGCCGACGCGGCGCAGAGCCGTCCGCCGACACAGACAAAAATTGTGTCCTCGATGGACAAGAGCTATGGCACTTCCCTCACCCCACGGTGCGCCGAACACCTCCCGGCGAAAGGAAACTGGCAGCGGTGTCCACCGCACGCGCACGCGTCCAAGTGCAGTACCAGCCCATGTCCACTTCCGCGCACGTGGCAATTTTGTCTCCCACTGGATCGCATGGCCGCCAATAGGTCGCCGCACGACGGGGAGACAGGGTGTTTTTCTTTCAAGTGGGACATTTTCAAGTGCAGTCTCTAGTGTGCATGGAACGAGGAGGCCGTGGCAAAGTGTAAATTAATCACGATTTCGTGATTAGGGTGCACTTGAAACTCAAGAGTTCTCAAGTGGTGTGGAACGAGGCTCTCAGGAGGTCGTGGGCTCAGTTCCCATGATCTCATTTTTCCCTTCCTGGGGATGCTTGGTGCCCGCCACCTATAGATAGACCGCTACCGCTGGATCCCCCGATCGGCATTAAGCAGAGTCTGCTGATGTTCGTAGGGGACCTGAGGGGAGGCACAGGGATTGGTCCTGCTGGCGTGGTGCATGATACGGAAAAAAAAACAGAAGGGACGATACAGAAAAGAAATAAAAAGTGAAAAAGAAAGAACCCCGCGGCTGGGCAGGCTGCTGACATTTGGTACCGCAAGAGATGGGTGGTCCCACTAGCAAAGAGGATCGGATCGAATGCCTGAACCTGGACGAGGTTAAGGAGATGTGCGGGAAATTGAGATTGAACTGCTTTTCTGCATCTCTGCATAAAACACATCCAGATTCAGGAGCTCTATCCGATCCTTTTTGCTATTGCTAGTGGGACCTCGCCCTCGACTCGAGTGTGACTACCAGCTACTCAGCAATATAACTTAAAAAGATAGTACTATACTACTATCTACCGGGAAAGTTGTACATATCCCGTCACACTACGAACTTTTGGGACTGAATTCGGAGGTATTTACGTTCCACGAAAGTCGTAGCGCGAGTATACCGCCGGCCGATGGGCCAACGGAGCGATACCGAGAAGATCCAGGACATCTTCTTTTTATGCGCGGTGCGACTTCTTTTCCCTTTTCTTTACGTCTCCCTTTCTTTCTTTAGTTTTTATATTACACAAGCCGGAGCGGTGCGACTTTCCCGAAGGTGTCTGGGCGAATACTCGCACAAGGACTTGGTCGAATGGCTTGCCGGTGTGGTTGCTGTCAGATGCACACATGTCGGGGCGTTTTCCCGGTCAGATACGTCCATCCAGGAAAGCCCTAGAGTGAGTCTAATCCAAAAAGTCGCCGCGCCAGTACGCGCCCAGAATGTGGCCCCCGAGTGCAGTGAAAGGCGCAAATAGGAGGAGGCAATTTTGTTTTTTTGTTATTGTTATTTTTTTTCAAAAAATCTCATCTTTGAACTGATTGGCCCAGGTAATTCAGAATTATTTTACTCTGTTCATCTGTTTGAACTGGATTCGAGCCAGGGCTTCTTTTTTTTTTATTATTTATTTTTAATTTTTTTAGGGCTTCTATTTCAACAGTTCGGGGGGGTGTGCCAATACCAACTGAGCTAAGATCGTTCGTTGGTAGGAAGGCTACTAGGGTTGTGATGATCGAATGGGAACGCAATGGCGTCCAGGTTCCGTCACCGAAGCTGCGGGTATCTCGAGGAGGCGCTCACTCTATTCGACGACTATCATGAATTGGGGATGGGTTCGACTGGGCATGCGATTTGTTTTTGTAATTTACTATTTAGTATTTAGTAATTTATGTGACAATTTTTTTATTTTATTGCAGATTCAATTGATTAGTGGGGAGCTCGTGCGGCTCACCGTTATCGAGGGTGTGCAGGTGCCAAGCGTCCATCACCGACTCCGCCCGTTTATTAACTTGGGCGCCAAAACGGACAGAAAAAGTAAAACCCACCGGATGGAGGGGAAGGGGAGAGGCGCGGGGAACGAAAAAAGGAAATGCTTTATTTGGCGTTTCAGCACCCACATCGGCGTTAGCGCGGGGTTAGCAGCTTTATTTGGCATTTCCCTGAAAATTAGGCGGGGTAGGCAACGGGTTAAGGCGACTCCCGCGCAAATCTGTTTGTCGTCGGCTTCTCTGAGGGGAGTCGTCGCCGGCGGGGCGCGCGGGGGGCGGACAGGTTTTTACTTAAATAAAATAAATATCTTCTCTTTTGTATCGGGGAAACAACTGCTGGTGGTGACGAGTTATGATTTTGGTTTGGTTGCCCCGCCTTATGAATTGTTGAAATACAGACCACGGCTCAAATCCCGAATGAAATAAGTGAACGAACTTCCTCAATTATCCGGGCCTTGTCAGGTCGACGATAACATCTCAAGCCGCTGTCGCCCTTAAAAAAAGGAAAAAAAGGTTACTTTGATTGATCCAACGAGCAAGCCGGCATTGTCGGTTTACGGACGGACCGCAAACACTTCGTTGCTGTCCTCAAAGAGGAAGAAGGGCAGCGGAAGAAAGATGTGTAGATGTTATTAGTAGAAGAGGTGGAGGAACAGGGAGGTAGGCTAGGAGGGAGGGAGGGAGGGAGCAAGGGATGGAGAGGAAAAAGTCCTCGCATAGGACTGAAGAGCAAGTTCTTGCTGTGGCTGGCCGTGATTGGGCGCGGGCGACAACGCGGCGCGTGGCTTGGAACCTACGGAGTGTACTTTTGGTGAGGTTAAATAGGATGCATGTATAATACACATACATACGTGTAATCATGAAAGTCTAACATCGCAGAATAGCAGCAGAAGCAATACTCGAGCAATAGTGGTCGTAGACTGAGAGAAAGGGGGATCGATGGGTGCTAAACGCTGGAGGGACTGGGATGCCGTTGGATGGAGAAGAAAAGCTCATGGCAAAGGTCAGCCTTGCTCAATGGGGGGTAGTATTTGTGGTGGATTTCGCTGGCTCGGATAAGCGGGAGAGAGCGACTAAAATCAGCCACGAGTGTAATCATTACGGTATTACAGGAAGATTGTCTCTCGCTTTAACAGGAGGGATGGCTCATCTTGCAATCTTTTTGTTCTTACCTGAGTGAGTGCCCAACGGAGCTTAGAGAGTGCCGTTGTGTGAGTGTGTGTGTGTGTGTGTGTGTGTGTGTGTGTGTGTGTGTGTGTGTGTGTGTGTGTGGGCCTGTCTGTCTGTGTGTGTGGGTGGGGGGTATTGCATCCGCTTGCGTAGTCAGACTAGAGTACCATCGGGGTCCGGACAGGGGGAAAGCCAACCGCGGCGCGGTAGAGTCTTGTAGCTGGCTGGTGCATGCAGTTAATCCTCCTCGAGAGACACTTCGCCGTTGGGTATCCCGAGAAGCTAGAACATCCCGTCCAGTCTCCTCTCACGTCGTCTCGTCCCGTCCCGTCTCGTCTCCTCTCATCTAATCTCCTCTCGTCAGGTTCTCGTCCTTCTCAATCAGCCTGATCGTCCTCGTCGTGTCCTGTCCCTTCGATTCCCAGGGCCAACTTCGCTGTGGAGGTGCAATCTGCTTAGCTGGCAGCCCACCCATTTGTCCACCGAAGACGTATTCCGGCGCAGAGCCTGAAGCACTCTTCCACACAACTGCACACACACACACACACACACACACACACACACACACACACACACACACACACACAAAGAGAGAGAGAGAGAGAGAGANNNNGAGAGAGAGAGAGAGAGAGAGAGAGAGAGAGAGAGAGAGAGAGAGAGAGAGAGAGAGGGAGAGAGAGAGAGAGGGAGCATTAGTTGGTTCGTCAACAACATCACGGGCAGGTCGAGGAACAGTACGAACTCGCAACCACGAGTGAGCTATGGTGATCTGGAAGGAAGAGAGAGGAAGTAACGAGAGGGTTGGCATGCGATAGCTTGCGAGAAGAAGGTGAGACCAGCCACATCGAAGTTTGTATGTGTGCTACGGACGTGCACAAGCGCGTGTCAGCATTGTGTGTGTGTGCCCAAAAAAAACAAAAAAACGCATTTTTTTATATTTGTTTCTTTCGTGTGTGTGTGTGGGGTGTGTGTGTGCGCGTGAGTGTGTGTGTGTGTGTGTGCATACGTGCGTGCTTGTGTGTGCAGAAGCGTGCACACACGGGTATGTGTAAGGTGCGCACGTGAGCTGTGTTCGTGTGCTGGAGACGCACCCACAAAGTATGTACAGTGCGCTTGCTGCGACGACGGATCGAATCGACCGATGCTTCAATGACTCGGTCATTTTAGTCCCTGCAGCAAAGTCACGGTGCATGTGACGTCTATTGTCTGTGAGTGAGCGCGACGGCGAGACTCATCCTGCTCCTGCGTGTAATGGCCGAGTTGAATAACAGCCCGCCGATAAGACTAGAGTCGGTGGCAGCAAGAGCTTTGCTTGAAGACAAGGAGAGGAGGTGGGGTGGGGAGGACAGGGTTGTGTACAGAGAGTGCCAGAAGAACCACGCTGCAAGCAGCGGAGGCCATGCGATCGATGGCTGCGGGGAGTTCATGCCATCGGGCAGTGAGGGCACGCCGGAATCGCTGCGTTGTGCTGCGTGCGACTGCCACCGCAACTTCCACCGGAAAGAGATAGTAGACGGCGGGAGCGGCATTGGTGTCGGTGTCGGTGTGGGGGTAGGTGTAGGCGTTGGGCTGAACGTTGGGGTGGGTGGTGGGGGCGGGGGGGGGGTCGGGGGCAGCCCCGGTGCTGCGGCGGGGGGCGGAAGCGGTAGTGCAGCAGGCTATCCCGCGCTCTGCGAATGCCAGAGAAGCCGTAAAGAGAGGAAGAAGCTCGCCCATACGAGCCCGTCGGCTATGGCTGTCGTACATGTAGTTAGGGACGTCGGAGGGCACACTCCTGGCAGATCAGGCGAGGCTCCTCTTCTTCTCCCTGCGGCTACTGCCAATGCTGTAGGCAGCCTACAGGCAACCGGGGACTCGGAGGGGATCTACCCTTCCACGGACAGGGACGGATGCTCTGCAAAGAGATTCCGCACCAAATTCACGTCGGACCAGAAGGAGAAGATGGCTGCGTTTGCAGAGAGAATAGGATGGAAAATTAATAAGATGGACGAGCAGGACGTGCGGAACTTCTGCGCAGAGATCGGGGTTCCCAAGCACGTTCTCAAAGTGTGGATGCACAATAACAAGAAGACGTTTCGGACTATTAAGACGGAGTGAATGAATATTGGCCATTAGAAGGTTTTGTCCGCTGCACTTTTGCCCCCCTCTCCCCCTTTCACACGAGAGAGAGAGAGAGAGAGAGAGAGAGAGAGAGAGAGAGAGAGAGAGAGAGAGAGAGAGAGAGAGAGAGAGAGAGAGAGTTCCATGGAGAGCTTGAGGAATACGGAGGAGGCGTGGCTGAAAGTGAGGGTGGGGTCCACCATTCGCTCGTTGATCGAGCTTAAGGGGTGAAGCCATTGCGAGTAGTGGAACGGGAAGAGGAAGAAGTAGAGGAAGATGGAGAAGGCGAAGAAAATAACTTGGAAGAGAATAACGAAAGCAAGATGAAGAGGAAGACAACTGGCCGTGGAAGTGGACGAAGAGAGTCGTCAAGAAATGAACAGAATGGAGTGCAGCTGCGGTGGAAGGGGGGTAAGGGCAAGAAGGTGGACGACGAAATGGCGGCTACGGGAAGCTCAGGAGAGAGGAGCACAGGATGGGGGAGCCAGGGGGACCTTTACTTATTGAGCAGAATCGCAGTAAACGGACAAGCTCTCCTCTCTTCTCGTCGCGATCTTCATCTCGATTGTTGCGCTACTTATTAATGGGTACGCCGCCTTTCTGTTCCTCTCCTGGTGTATATTGCATCACTCACGTAGGTCTCGGAAATCCTCATATGACTGCTGCTGGGCTTACTGTAATAGATGACGGTCTAAACGATTCGCTTCTCTCTCTCTCTCTCTCTCTCTCTCTCTCTCTCTCTCTCTCTCTCTCTCTCTCTCTCTCTCTCTCTCTCTCTCTCTCTCTCTGTGTCTCTGTCTCTGTCTCTCTCTGTCTCTCTGTCTCTCTGTCTCTCTGTCTCTCTGTCTCTCTGTTACTGTCTCTCTCTCTCTCTCTCTCTCTCTCTCTCTCTCTCTCTCTCTCTCTCTCTCTCTCTCTCTCTCCCCGCTCGCCCTCTCTCTCGCACTTGAAATTTAAGTGGATAGGGTGCCTGTCTGGATCTGTATGCGCAACTCAGAATTGAGTGCGCATTTTCGTCGGCCCCCTCCTACTCTGCTAGAGCTCCTCGTTCCGATTGTCTCCGCGTCATCGAACAACCACTTCGACCTGTCGGTCGGCAGGTAAGCTTGGCTTAGCTCGCTGTGCGGGGCCACCGCACGTCTGCCCGTCTGACAGCCCAACTCCCTCCCCCCGCCCGCTTCGTGCGCCTCCGTTCCGCGCCTCCTCCATGTCGTTCTGTACCATAACGGTCGGTGGCTCGCACGGTCATTCCGTACCGCAGATGGGTGATATCCCTGCCCCTAGAGAACATAACAACATGTGGTATCCCTGCCCCTAGAGAACATAACAACATGTGGGACCAGTGCTTAGTGACAACGACAATTTGAAGAAGCAAATAGTCGAAGCTGCAAGCTGTCCAAGTCATGCGGAGATGCTAGTCAAGCAGAGCCGATCTCTTCTGAATTGAGAGCATACAGATCGCACACCCGTAATCGACGATGGTGGATTTCCCCCCAACGGATTTTTGCACCGAGCAGGACCACTTGGCAGAAGAGAACGTTTCGATGTCAACGAGCAGCCGGGTGCGCGCACGGACGGACTGCCGAAGAAGACATCAATCATCGCCAACTACCACGTCGGTCGCGGTCTCCCTTCCCACGAATGAGTTCTCCTCCCCTAGGCTCGGTGAACCAGTAGAAATCCACACGGCTTCATACAGCTCGAAGACCATACCCCTCAAGACCACTTGCAGCGATTTAACTCTTTAAGATTCTTTAGTGGGAGAGCATAACTGCCGGCAGAATCCCGTTTGCCTCCGCAGGTGCTGGAAGTAATCCTCATTATATCACACACATACACACACACACAGACACACACACACACAGAGAGAGAGAGAGAGAGAGAGAGAGAGAGAGAGAGAGAGAGAGAGAG